GTAAAATGATTGGCTAGAATCCAAAGTGTATGACATCTCAGGAAAAAAAAAGCACCGAAATAAAGCACCGAAATGTGCGCTGCTTTTCGGTCTGGTTACTACCATTTATGTCAGATGATGGCACCGGATACCGGTACCCATCCCTATCCATAACATATCTTTAGTGTTCTGGTCTAGAGAAAGATGTCCTTGTCTGAGATCTTATGATACATGGTCCCTCAATGCAGTGAACTCGTCCTGCCCTTAGCAGAAAAACATCTCCAAAGCATTATGTTTCCACCTCTGTGCTTGACTGTAGGAACAGTGTTCTTGTGATGGTCTTGTAACCCATTCCAGCCTTGTGCGGGTCTACAATCTTGTCCCTGGCAGTCTTTGACAGCTTTGGTCTTGCCCGTGATGGTGAAGAGGTTGGAGTGGAAGACGGGGCATCAAATACTTATTTCACTCAATGACATGCAAATCAGTTCATAACTTTTATCTAATGTGATTTTTTTCAGGATTTTTGTTGATATCCTCTCTCTCTAAAATATTAGAGATTGTTCGATTTCTTCTAAATGAGCAAACTTACACATTTAGCAGGAGGTCAAATAATTATTTTCCACACTGCAAATCTACATTCAATCACATACACACTCTTTTAAGTAGCTTAAGCAGCCATTAAACCTTCAATTCATAAAAGCACTGTCCTAGACTGGCCGATTAACCAAATTCTGTGTTTCATAAAAATCTAATTGGATTGGGGTGAAAAGCCCACCCTTATATTACAATTCTTGTCATGTGCAGTGACCCTGCTTCCTGGTATCGCTCGTCTGAGTCCCGCGAGTCTGCCACTTTTTCATCCATGGCAAATTTACTTTGTCTGATCATTTGTTTTCCAATTACGACCCTGTCCCTGCTAGCAGAAAATTGTCAGCTTTGGTTATGTGAACCTGCTCTTGGGTCTGTAACCAGGGGCAATGTTTGAAGCTTGGAACATTTTCATACCCATTAAAAGATGAAGGTGGGGTGAATTATTATCCCGCAGAGCTGATTGGGTTTCGTGGGGGTTGCTGTAGGTTGCTGCTTGTAATGTCATTATAGTACCACAAACAAAGAGACATTGTCCTGTCCTCTTAGTAAACAACTAAAGTTAGAGTACAAAAAGAGTGGACAAAACTAGTAAAAGCTGAACTTAAATAAGCAGTCGGATATTTGCAAATCAGAATCGAACTTACACCTAGTTAACCTGTATGCTGCATTCACTTGTTTGAGCACATCTACGTTCATTATTTGACCAAAATTTCAAAGTAAATAAAAAGTCCCAGTATTTGTTCACAGCAACACATTCACTGTAATTGCCAGAAACCTACGCCTTCAGCACTGCAAGGCAATTTAGATGAAAGATGCTGAAGTGAACCTAAAGGAGAAGATTCCACCCACACAGCAGGGAAATACAATAGATGAGCATAACAATGGCATCAACACTGAATGGGACTTTGAGAGGCAGAGCAAAGGACAAAATAGCAGGTAATGAAAGCAACAGAATCAATGTTTGGACATAACCGTCGCATTAGCTGTGATGAATGAGACCGCCGTCAGAAACTCTGGAAGCCGGCACAGGACGTTCCAATGATCAAGCAGTGAATAATCGGACACGATGGATTCTGGGAAGGAGAGGCAATTTGCTGCCATGGATCCCAGAAGAGCAGCATCAATTCACATATTGACCTTTAAAAATGCTGTTAATGGATGATATCTTCAGTTCATAGCTGGATGATAAGTTCTTCAGTAGACTATTGTGTGTGGTGAAATTGCACTGTGATGCATTTCATCCACTGACAGCCTGTAGCATTTATCTGTGGTTGGGTTTCACATCTCACAGTAAGGAGGTTCAAAATGGAGAGGGCAGTTAAAAAACTCCAGCACTGGTGAAATGGATTGAGCTACAACATTAAACATATCAAAGTACATGCTGTATACAACACTCCATCAACATTTACTGTCACTTTTTGGGTGACGGACAGCTGAGGAGCTCAGACATTCACGGCTTGAAGAAAAAGCATGCAAAAATTCAACCCCCACATTCATGCAAGCAAACAAGGACACCATAAGAAATCCAATTTTGAGAACTCATTCTGCATGCATGTATAAAATAGACTCTTTCAAAAAGAAAATTATGTCAACCAGCTGTGGCTTTGAAAAAGCCAAACTGAGAGACTTGGCATTTTGATCGATAATAAACTCTCCTTTTTGCCCTTGATGCACAACTCCGTGTTTGTATTGCTCTTATTGTTTTATAAGCGATTCCTAAAAGAAAAGCAACTTACGGATTTAAACAAGGCTTGAAAAGGCCAACCGTTACCCTGAAAAAGTGTGCAGCATCAGAAGTGTGAACATCAGAATAAATGTTTTAATGAGACTGTTATCGCCAAGATTATTGTCTGGCTGTGATTTGCTTTTCTGAGACAGTGTGTAGATATAAATAGGCAGGAAAAACTACAGCCAGAGAAATTATGTTGCAAATGCTTAAGGGCATAATAAGACAAAGAAAATCATAATAAATACCTGAATTCGACCGTTAAGTGGCAACTTTAGAAAGAAATTCAGTATTTTGATGTAACGTAACTTAATATTCTGTCTTATCAGAGGTTTGCTGGTACTGTATGACAATAACAGAGCTAGTGCAGACGAAATATCATTTACCACTTTTCACTGTAATTTTAAATATGACGCCCAAAGACATGTTAGTACAAGTGAGTTAGGACATCAAAGTAAACCCATCAGAGAAATAACAAAAACTTTAGGAGTGGCCAAATCAAGAATCTGCATTCTTAAAGAGAATGAATGCACTGGCCAGTTCAAGTGCATGATGACAAAATTATTTCAATGCTTAAGAAAAATAGCTTCCTAAAACAATCCAAATGAGGATATATACAGGAAGTAGGTGTATCAAGGTCAAGGTCTACAATCAAGAGACACCTTCATGAATGGAAACAATGAGGGTTTGCAACAACATGCAAACCACTGATTACACTCTTTGGTCATGCAAAGAGTGTAGTAGAACTGGGCCACTAGTGTTCATTGATGTTGTGACTCCTGGCAGATTGTACAATGCTGCCCACATTCAGCCAAATAATTCAAAAAGGATTGCAAAAGCAAGCCAAGAGTTTCATGAGGCAGAGAAATGTGATAGTCTTCAATGGGCAAGTCAGTCACACCTGATTTTAACTCAACAGAGAATACCTTACAGTTAGTAAATACAAAACAGAATGCAGAGAGACCCACAAGTAAGGAACAACTGAAAGTGGCTGCAGTAAAGGCCTGGTAGAGCATAACAAAGGAAGAAGCACAGCAGGTGGTGATACCCATGGGTTTTAAACTTCACACAGTCTCTGACTACAACAGATTTTCATTCAAATAACAATATTTCTATTTGAAGCTACTGTATATTCGTTTGTCCTATAACTTTGGAGCCTTTGAAAATGGTGGACTATAAATAAAAATGCCTTCAATTCAATTCAATTTCTAAACACAAAAGGCAATACTTTTATCAAACACCTTGAAGTAAAGCTGAAAGTCTTCATTTCAGTTTCAATTTTTTTCTTTGACTTAAAAATCGATTGTGGTGTGATCTGGGAGCACTCACTTTTCTTTAGCAGCAAACAAAATTTACTCCTGCTTTATCTGGTAAAGGGAGGCCAGGCCAGGACCCGGGGCAGCCCACCCTACCCCACCGCAGAGGAAACTGTACCCACCCCAACATTCAATCATCTCCCAGACTACACAAGACAACAGACACCAAGGTTAAGTTTATTCTCCACCTCTCCTATGTCTCTCCCCCACCTGCAGAGTGGACTCCTGCAAGGATGGAACAACCTCCCTGCCAGTTGAAGAGCCCCCCAGTTAGGCCGATGCACAAGAGGCCCCCTGCGCCTCTTGTGCATCGATTGTTTTACTCCTGCTTTATCTGGTATTTCGTTTTCAGACGTTTTGGCACATCCAAGGCCGTTGTTATTTGTTTTAAGCACCACAGACATTTCCTGATATTGAAGTAGTATGTGCCATGTAATTGAACTAAGATGTTCTATGTTGAGATAATTAGTCAAGTTTTAAGCCACAAATCCAAAATTAGTTAAGAAATCTATGTATGGGTCTGACTATCAGCAGATATAGCTTCCCAGTGCCTACAGGGACCATTCACAATTCCAGTTAAAAAAGGGGAGTAATGAACATCTTAAAATGACTGTGCATTGAGGCTGATACCTTTTCGTCAGGCCTCTCAGCTAGAAAAAGTTGATGATTTCACAGAATTGTTTCTAATGTAATCTCAGGAGCCAAAAGCCTCGTACCCACAGGAAAACTTCAAAAAACCTAGATTTAATAGGGAAAAATATCACCGTTTCTCACACTACCTGATTACCTCCTGCTCTCATCTTTGCAGCTGTCCCAATTAAAGAGAGACAACTTCACATTCTTTGAAGTGAAAAACTGCTTAATATTTTTAAGTGCACTTAAGACTCAGCTGAAGTAAAACAAGGCATGCTGTTTCTCACGAAATGTATTCCTGTAATTTCCTTTCCAGACACCATACAAAACAAATGCAATAGAAATGACTTATTGCATTAACATTTGTGTATGCTGCTTGTGAACTCTTGGACAAAGACTTCATTAGATATGTTCACGTTCTGCCTTGCAGCAGGAGCTTGTAGCTTACCTTGTACAATGAGGTAGACCTGTGAGGTCTTGGGCTGCTGCTTAGTCTGTATGGAGCAGGTGTACGAGCCTTCATCATACACATCCACCTAACACATTAAAACAGAATATTAGTTATTAGTGTAAAACAACATTTAATTGGTTGCGACAATGCTACTGGGAGAATGTGTACATTTTAAAAAGATGATATCTTTTTCCTAGTAGCAAACGTATACAGTAAATACATTAAGACTAGGGCTGCCACAAACGATTATTTTGATAGTCGACTAGTCACCGATTATTTTTGCGATTAGTCGACTAATCAGATCATCATCCATTGGACATAAAACGTTCAGCTTATTGCACCAGCAGCATCTGCTCTTATATACCTATCATTAGCTTACAGCTTTAAGTGTTTAAGGTATGTGCTAACTAAAAATGAAGACAAGATGATAGTTTATTACATTTTAATGAAATTTGCAGATTGTTTCGGTGACATTTAATAAACTCCTTGCTATTTAAAATATAA